TTTCCCTCTTCCTCCTCCTCCTCCTCCTTCTTTGTCAGTCATGGAGCTTGAACTCTGAGCCTTGAGCTCTTTTGCTCAAGGCTAGTGTTCTACCACTTTGAGCACCAGCTCCACTTCTAATTCTCTGGTGGTTAATTGGTGATAAGAGTCACGTGGATTCTTCTGCCCAGGCTGTCTTTGAACTGTGATCTTCAGATCTCAGCCTCCTGAGTAGCTAGGATTACAGGAGTAAGCCACCAGCACTCGGCTTGCTTACTTGCTTGCTTCCTTCCTTCCTCTCCACCCCTTCCCTCCCCTCCCCTTTTCTTCTTTATTCTTACCATTCTGGACAGCCTACAAAGATTCAATGCCCCTTTCTGCCATGAGTAGAACACGGTGTATGTCTAAGGTTCCCTGTTTGCTCCAGTGTTCAGGGATGGTGTACTGTGCTATATGACCTTGTTTGTGGTGAAACATGACAAGTGACACTAATGGCTCCTCTCCTGTTTCCTTGTCCCACCAGGCAGTGAAAGCAGCCAGTACCCATTGAAAATCTGGAAGTATTTGAGAGTTGTTTATTCTGCCATATTATGACATACACACAAGGCCCAAGAGATTCAGTTACTTTGCACTGACTCCCCTGGTCTGTCTTTAGAACTGGAAAGCTCTGGAGAGAGCCAGGCTCATGGGGCTCAGGCCCGAAGCTGTCAGCAGTGCCTCTGGACACTGATTTTTTTCTCTCCTGCAAGCTGACAATAATGATTGTCGCAGTAGCAGTGGCAGTGATGCACTGAAGGATTGTAGAAAAACCAAGGCAAGGGGCTGGGAATGTGGCTTAGTGGTAGCGTGCATGAAGCCCTGGGTTCAATCCCTCAGTGCCACATACACAGAAAAGCCAGAAGTGGTGCTGTGGCTCAAGTGGTAGAGTACTCACCTTGAGCAAAAGAAGCTCAGAGACAGTGCCCAGGCCCTGAGTTCAAGCCCCAAAAAAGAAAAAGACAAAAAGAAAAACCAAGGTAAAGTTCTGTCTCCAAATTCTTTGTCTGAAGCCAGGTACTGGATACTCACACCTATAATCCTACTGCTCAGGAGGCTGAGATCTGAGGATCATGGTTCAAAGCCTGCCTGGGCAGGAAAGTCTGTGAAACCACCAGAAAACCAGAAGTGGAGTTGGGGCTCAAAGTGGTAAAGTGCTAGCCTTGAGCAAAGGAGTTCAGGAATAGAGCCCAAGCCCTGAGTTCAAGCTCCAAGACTGACATAAAAAAAAAAAAGTCAAAAATTGCCACGCCTACTCCAGTGGAGTCTGCTTAGCATGGGAAACCAGCTTTCAGACCTGAGAATGGGGCTTCAAAGAGACCTATCTCTGAGAATGGGACTTCACCGAAGTCTACCTCAGAGAATGGGGCTTCAAAGAGGCCTACCTCCTGGAAAGGCTGGCAAGCCCCTGGGAAAGATGTGTTTCTGTCCCTGCTTTTCTTTTCTTCACTGTATAAGTGTGCCTATTAATCTTTTACTGTTTCTGCTGCTCATTGTACTTACTCATTGTCAACGTTCCCTTATTCAAAGCTCTTTCTTAAGAGTGTTGACGACTCCAACATCTGATGAGTGTCTTAAAAATATGACTAACTCACCAGAGTTAAGTGCTACCCTGGAAACCCCTCTTATGGAGGCTAGTAGACAAGTCATAAGCAAATATAAAAGTATTGGGGGTTTCACGACGCCACTTCAGCAGAAGGAATTGTTTGTAAGAGATTTACAAGAAGCTGTAGGTGCGGCTAGAACAGAAAGAATGTATGGCAATTGCTGAGAGAACTACTTAGGAAAAAGAATTTCCTGCTACTCTCTTTTATTTACTAAGAGACTTGCTAGATCTAGGCCTCCTTGGTGCTTACTATTAAAGAAGGAACAGGAAAGATCTTATGGGACAGTTAAGGCCTCTATAAAAATAGGTAATAGTTATTGGTGACAAACATCGAAACCCATTGTATTTCTTAGAAATAAGTCGGAAACAAGTGCCTATCAGGCGACCAGCTGGTGACCACCCAAGAATGAAGCCCTGCAGCAAGATTGTGTAACCTTTTGCCCTTTCTCATGAAGACTTTTGCTATAAAAGTTTGTTATCCTCTGCATTAAATTGCACTCAGCATCCACTCCTATTCCAGTTCCTCCCCTAGGTGTCCTCCATTGTCCCGACAGAGCCGGTCCATGGCAAAAAATCTTTGTCTAAATCAGTGAACCAGGAATCTTCAGTCTAACACTATAGGAATCCTTCCCTTTATATTGCCACAAGGTTGGGCTGGGAAGGTGGCTCAGTGGTAGAGTGCTTGCCTTGCATGACTGAAGCCCTGAGTTTGATTCCTCAGCACCACATAAGCAAAAAGAAAAAAGCCAGAAGTGACACTGTGGCTCAAGTGGTAGAGTGCTAGCCTTGAGGTGAAGAGCTGAGGGACAGCGCCCAGGCCCAGAGTTCAGGCCCCACGACCGGACCCAAAAAAATAAAAATAAAAATATATTGCCACAAGGTGAAAATTAGACATGTACTTAAATTGTATAAGTTTCAATATTATATAAGAAGTTAAAATTACATCCTTACCCAAGTCTCTATTGGCATTGTCCCTGAGTTCTTTTGCTCAAAGCTAGCACTCTACCATTTTGAGCCATAGCCCCACTTCCAGTTTTCTGGAGGTTAATTGGAGATAAGAGTCCCACAGGCTTTCCTGCTTGGGTTGGCTTTGAATCTTAATACTCAGATCTCAGCCTCCTGAGTAGCTAGGATTATAGTGCCTGGCTAGACTTTTTTTTTTAATCTGAATACTGTATACTTTCCTGTTTCACAGGAAAGGGGATCGCCCCCCTTTCCTACTTCTTATTTCATGTTAAAATATCTTCTTTTTCTCTTTTCAGTCATGGGGTTGGAACTCAGGGCCTGGGTGCTGTCTCTGAGCTCTTTAGCTCAAGGCTAACATTCTACCACTTTGAGCCACAGTGCCACTTCTGGTTTTCTGGTGGTTCTTTGGAGATAAGAGTCTCATGGATTTTCTTGACATTGGCTTTGAATCTGTATTCTCAGATCTCAGCCTCCTGAGTAGCTAGAATGACAGACGTGAACCACCGGGTGCCTGGCTTCTTGTTAGGATAACTGTTGCTATTTACCTTTTAAAATTAGCCTTCAGACTAGAAAGCACACTAGGCAAGACAAGGACTACAATAGAAGGAGAGAGATTTGGGGGGAGTGGGGGGAAACCTCAGAGGAGAAGCTGCATGTTTGGTGGGAGCTATGAGGGCCTAGAAGTCTGTTCTGGAGGTTGTGTTCTGAGTTCCAGAAAAACTAAGACAAGTAGACCAAGACTTAGCCACTGAGGGGATAAATACAGACTTCCCTCACCATATGACGGGTCACTTCTTGTGGCTTCATTGTAGCATGGGTTTAAATATATATATGTATATGTGTATATGTATATATACATATGCATATATAATTCTGTATCGTGGAGTTTTTGCTATATTACAGCATTTTGTGGTGTATTATAGGTAGTGTGTGTGTGTATGTGTGTGTGTGTGTGTGTGTGTGTGAGTCATGGGCCTTGAACTCTGGGCCTGGGCGCTGTTCCTCAGCTCTTCAGCTCAAGGCTAGCGCTCTACCACTTGAGCCACAGCGCCACTTCCAGTTTTCTGGTAGTTTATTGGAGATAAGTGTCATAGACTTTCCTGCCAGGACAGGCTTTGAACTGTCATCAGATCTCAGACTCCTTAGTAGCTAGGATTACAGGTGTGAGCCACCAGTGCCCACTGTATATAATGTGTGTATATGTAATTAATATATATAAAAAATCACACAATTACATATTCTATCTATAAATATATGTATTATATTTTATATTAGATTCTATAATAACATTATAAAATAATGTATAACATGCTATATATAATATATTGTACAGCATATAATAGTATACTATACATGCTATTATATAGCATATACTATTATGTAGTATGTATTATATGCTATGATACTATATACTATCATATAGTATAAATATATTCTAGTATATGTAATATATTTTATGTTTTAGTATAATATATTTATTAAATATAACATATTATTATATTACACAAATTATATATTTAATGTAAATTATGCTATATTAAAATGATATACATTGTATATTATTACATATAGTATAGTATATAATATGTAGCAATGACTAATATATAGTTGGGATATCTATCTATTGATCTATCGATTGATCAATTTGTCTATATCTCCCAGGGAGCTAATGAAATTCTGAGTTTTGTTTTATGTGCTTGTTTTCATCATGTCCTGTTCTGTTTTGAAATGTGTGTGTGTGTGTGTGTGTGTGTGTGTGTGTGTGTGTGTGTGTGTGTTCTAGTACACAGTCTTCAACTCAAGGCCTCAGCTATTGCTTGGCTCTTTTCCTCAAGGCTAGTGCTCTACCACTTAAGCCACACTTCCATCTCTGGCTTTTTTCCCACTTTAAAAAAGTTTTATTGAGCTATAATTCATATATCATACAATTTACAAACTTAATATGTATGATTTAATAACTTTTATATTCACATGGTTTGTGGATCCAATGCCCAACTTCATAACATTTTTTCATTATCATTAAAATACCTCTGGCCTTTTGCTTGTTCATTGGAGTTTCATGGACTTCTCTGCCAGGGCTGCCTTTGAACTGTGATCCTCGGATCTCAGCTTCCTGAGTAGCCAGGATGACAGGTGTGAGCCATCAGCGCCTGGCAGCTTTGTTTCTTTTAAAGCAGGCTGGAACACTTCGCATGGGTTGCAAACACTCAAGTGAGAGGATCATAAGCTATTTGTAGCATAGAGCTGAGTTGCATGATGAAAAATATCTATTATTATTAGTAGTAGCTTCTTGTATCTATTATTAGTATTATTTATTATTATTACTATCTATAATTATTGATATTCTTCCTCAATAGAATACATTCTCCCTCTTCTGTTCCTTTTCAAGGTATGTTTTCTTTTTATTCTTTACTCTTTAAAAATTATCTTTAAGTAGTTGTACAGAGGAGCTGCCATTTGACAAAGCAGTTTATGAATAAAATATACCTAGATCAAGGTCATCTCTTCCAGCGTTCTCATTTATCCCTCCCCTTCTCACTCTTATTCTTTCTTCCTCTCCTATGCATCTGGTCCACTCTCTGCCCTCTATTTTCCCCCAACCACATCCACACTTCCTTCCTGGGCACAAGCCTGGCTCAGAGAGGCAGAAAACCCAAGGTGTATTTCGGTACGATTCTGGTAAAGCCTAAGGAATCAGGGTCCACTGTGATGTCCTGGGGAGCCTTTGGGGACTTGAAGCGGAAGTTCTGCAAGATGGTGGTGAGGAAGAGAAAGAGCTCCATTTTAGCCAGGCCTTCTCCCAGGCAGTACCGCTTTCCTGCAGAGGAGAAGAGGGAGGAGAGCAGGGGTGAAGGCAACTCCCTGGGGCCTAGTTTCAATATGGAGCCTCCAGCTGCATTCCATAGAGGAGGGGAGGGGGCTCTAAGTCTCGGAGAGACTTTCCATGAAGGTTCTAAGTCTCTCTGAGCCCAGAGTCCCTCATATAAGAGATGGGGTGGTCCATGCCAAGCTGGAGCAATGGGAAATCTAGACACCTGTATCCAAAATACACTCAAATAAGACCACTGTGCTACCATGTCCCTCCCTCCCTCCCTCTTTTCTTCCTTCCTTTTCTTCCTTCCTTCCTTTTATTCCTGCTTTCTCTCCCTCCCTCGCTCTTCTCTTCTTGTCCTTTTTTTGTTTGTTTGCCAGTCCTGGGGCTTGAACTCAGGGCCTGGGCACTGTCCCTGAGCTTCTTTTGCTTTAGGTTAGCACTCTACCACTTGAGCCACAGTGTCACTTCTGGCCTTTTCTGTGTATGTGGTGCTGAGGAATCGAACCCAGGGCTTCCTGCATACTAGGCACGCACGCTCCCTCCCTCACCCCTTCTCTTTCTTGCTTTTCTCTTGTGTCAGTCCTGGGTCTTGAACTCAGAACCTTGGTACTTTTCCTTAGCTTTTTTTCCCCTCTCAAATCTTGCAATCTACCACTTGAGCCACACCTTTACTTCTGGCTCTCAGTGGTTCATTGGAGATAAGAGTCTTATGGACTTTCCTCCTCCAGCTGGCTTTGAACCACCATCCTCAGATCTCAGCCTCCTGAGGAGCTGGGGTGACCAGTGTGAGCCATCAGCACCCAGATCCCATCCCCTTTCAAAGAGCTGGAAGAATTGGTTGTGTCTTTGGAAAGACTGATGACTAACTGACCCTTTTTTTTTTTTTTTGGTCCAGTTGTGGGGCCTGAACTCTGGGCCTGGGCACTGTCCCTCAGCAATTCAGCTCAAGGCTAGCGCTCTACCACTTGAGCCACAGTGCCACTTCCAACTGTTTTCTTTTTGCTTATGTGGTGCTGAGGAATCGAACCCAAGGCCTCATGCATGCAAGGCAAGCACTCTACCACTGAGCCACCTTCCCAGCCTGACTAACTGACCCTTGATCCCTCCCCGGATCCCTGCCCATCTCTGAAAGGGGTTTGCACATTACTTTTGTTCTGGATATAAATGCTTGGCACTTTACACTTATTTGTGATTCTCCTAGTTGGCTGCAAGAGGAACTTCCAAGCCGGAGAAAGGTATTAATGAGGCTGTAGCTCAGAGAGGGGGCTGGCCTATACAGTTGACCCCTTTGCTGTGGGCCATGGCCTGGTGGCAAACACTGGACACTCACCGATGGAAAAGGGAATAAAAGCATCACTCTTCTTCAACTGTCCCTTGTCATCCAGGAAGTGGTGAGGGTTGAAATCTCTAGGGTTGGGGAAGAACTTGGGGTCATTCAGTACAGAGCCCAGCATGGGGAACACTTCAGTACCCTGAAAAAAGGAGGAAGAGGAGGAGGAGGAAGAGAAAGGGAGATTTGATTAGGAAGATGAAATGATTAGTGTGCTCAAGGCAGAGACTCTACTAGAGATGGTGGGAGGGTGGGAAGTTGCAGAGACCCAGGTGAAGAGAAACAGAAGCAGCCACTGGAGCTGGGCGGGGGTCCATGAGGGAGGGAACTTGGAGGAGCAGGATTGCTATGTCCTTGAGGCAGACGAATGAGAAATATTAGGTCTGGATCTCTTGAAACAGAAGGTCTGGTACCTCACTTGGCACATGCTCTGTGTGTGTGTGTGTGTGTGTGTTCACAGGTGCACTGGTCCTGGGGCCTGAGCTCAGAGACTGGGCACTGTCCCTGCGCTTTTTCACACAAGGTTAGACTTCTACCATTTGAGCCACAGCTCCATTTCTGGTTTTCTGGTGATGCATTGGAGGTAAGTGTCTTATGGACTTTTCTGCCCGGGCTGGCTTTGAACCATGATCCTCAGATCTCAGCTTCCTGAGTAGCTGGGATTATAGACATGAACCACCAATGCCCAGTCCTGGCTTTTCTTTTGATGCCAGTACTGAGGCCTGAACTCAGGGCCTAGGTGCTGTCTCTGAGCTTTTTTCTCAATGTGAGTGCTCTACCACTTTGAGCCACAGCTCCACTTCTGGCTATTTGCTGGTTAAGTGGAGATCCGAGTCTCATGGGTGTTCCAGCCCTGGCTGGCTTGGAACTGCCATCCTCAGATCTTGGCCTCCTGAGTAGCTGGGATTACAGAGGTGAGCCCTGGAACCCAGTTGCAGCTGGTGTCTTTCAAGGTAGGAATTTTTTTTTGAGGGGGACTGGACTAGGAGGGTTACCTGTCTCAAGACAGGGAGTTGGGAACCAGTGGGTCAAATCCCCCTTGAGACATTCAGATGGTGTTGGGGGGAGAGAATAGCAGGATGAGTCTGAGAGCGACCGCTGGGGTGACATGGAGGGTCAGGAATTGTTGGGTGAGAAAATGGAGTGAGGGTTTGAAACCTGCAGGTGGAAATTCGTTCTGGGGTCCCAGGGAGTGGGGAGGTGTGCACCTTAGGGAGGAAGAAGCCTCGGAATCTGGTGTCCTTGGTGACCTGGCGAGGGACGCCCATGGGGGCAAGGCTGGCGAATCTCTGGGTTTCGTAGATCACTGCCTCTGTGTAGGGCATCTTGTGGCGGTCCTCAAACTGAGGCTGCCGGTTCCTTCCGATCACCCGGTCAATCTCTTCATGGACTTTGGCTGACGCAGAAGGGGTGTGTGTTTAGAAGTGCACGGTCGAGAGTCCAAAGAGAGCCCTACCGCGTGAGCCACAGCACCAATTTTGGCTTTTAGGTGGTTCACTGGAGATAAAGAGTCTCACACTGTCCTGCCTGGGCTGGCTTCGAATCATGATCCTCAGATCTCAGCCTCCCGAGTAAGCTGGGATTACACACAGGAGCCAGCAGCACCTGGTTTCGATTTTCAACCTAGATCTCTGATTGACCAGAAACGTGTGCCATTTTGACAACTTAAAATCCCTAACTATGCAAAGCAGGGCATGTCTGAGGATCAATGCTGTGGGCATGCCCCGGTGTCAGAGAAGTTTGGAGAGCCTACGGAAGGAGTCCCCGGCTTCCTGTTGTCCTTCAGCCTTACCCTCCACCTCTGGATGTTTCAGGAGCAGCAGGAAGCCATAATGGAGCGTGAAGCTGACTGTTTCGGAGCCTGCAAAGAAGAGACTCAGTACTGACACCACCAGGTTCTTCATAGAGAACTCTGTGTTGGGGTTTTTCTTCTTCTCCTGCAGGAAGAGAGACCTCAGCTTGAATCTGTCTATCAACTACCATCTTGGGTTCATTCTGATGGTGTGTGTGTGTGTGTGTGTGTGTTTGTGTCTGTGTGTGTGTCCTGGGGCCTGGCCACTGTCCCTGATTTTCCTTCTTGCTCACTGCCTGCTCTCGATCACTTGAATCATAAGTCCCCTTCTGGCTTTTTTGGTGGTTCATTGGAGATCTGAGTTTCATGGACTTTCCTATTTGGGCTGGCTTTGAACCATGATCCTTAGAAAGATGAATTCTAGATCTGCCAGGCTTGCTCCACTGTCCTGGCTCCTGGCTGTGCTTTTCTGCCAAGCTCAATCTACCTGTCCTGCCAGGTGCTGGTGGCTTACACCTGTAATCCTGGCTACTCAGGAGGCTTAGATCTGAGGATCATGGTTCACAGCCAGCCTGGTCAGGAAAGTCTGTGAGACCCTTAGCTCCAATTAATCATCAAACACTGGAAATTGTGCTGTGGCTCAATTGGTAAAGCGCTTGCCTTGAGCTGAAGAGCTCAGGGACAGCACCCAGGCCCAAGCTCAAGCCCCACCACTGACAAAAACAAACAAACCCCAAATATCTGTCCTTTGTCCTTTGGTTGTTACTCTTTGTTTTTTTTTCCTGGTCAGTTGTTTTTGTGCCAGTGCAAGGGTTTGAATTCAGGGCCTGAGCATTGACCTTGAGCTTTTGTGCTCAAAGGTTAATACTCCACAGCTCCAGTTCTATTCTGTTCTGTTTTGTTGGTTAACTGGAGATAAAAGTCTCACAGCTTTTCCTGCCCCTTCTGGCTTTGAACCATGACCCTTGAAACTCAGCCTCCTGAGTAGCTGAAATTATAGGCATGAGCCACTGATGCCTGGCTGTTGTTACTCTAAATGGTCAGAGTATTTAGAAAGCAAGGGAGGGCCTAGGTAAAAGAAGGGCAGGTATGTCACCGTGAGGATGACATAGAGACACATTCTCTGAGAGAGAACTTTCAGTGATAGCATCTGACTCCTTTAAGTACCTTGAAACGTTTCCAAATCCTTTAACCATCAGATTTCATAAATCCTCAACTTTTGTTTTTTTCCCAGATGGGAGACTGTCATACAGATTAGGGTGTGAGCCTCCCATGTCAGGTCACCTGTGAAGCCAGGCCACCTGGCCCCCAGGTGTATCTGATATCAAGAAATAGAAGACAGAATGGAGCCTAAAAGGCTTAGAGCCATAGAGTTGGGAGGAGCTAGGGTTCATGCTTTCCTCCGGGTATGCCTAGGGAAGGCATTCGCGTCTCTGGGCTGTACATTCTTCCTCTGTAAAACTGGGGTCAAGAGCTAACATGAGGCCAGGTGCTGTGGCTCACATCTGTCATCCTACCTACTCAGGAGGCTGTGATCTGGAGGGTTTCAGTTCCAAGCCAGCCCAGGCAAGGAAAGTACTATTAATAAAACTCCTATCTCCACTTAATCAGCAAAAAATAATGAATGAAAGTCGGAAGTGGAGCTATGGTTCAAGTGGCAGGACACTAGCTTTGAGTGGAAAAGTTGGACAGCATCCAGGCCCAGAGTTCAAGCCTCAGTATGGCACTCACACATACAAAAGAAAGAAAGAAGGAAAGAAAGAAAGAAAGAAAGAAAGAAAGAAAGAAAGAAAGAAAAAGAAAGAAAACTAAAATAACACCATGCACACGGTGGTGTCTTGTAAACATGGTTCTTGTGAGGGTTTGCTTGCCCATGTCCTATAGTAAGGGCTTAGTAGATGAAAGTTGTGTGTGTGTGTGTGTGTGTGTGTGTGTGTGTGTGTGTAGATACTGGGGCTTCATCTCAGAGCTTGGGCATGATCCTTTAGTGGTTTTGCTCAAGGCTGGCGCTCTACCACTTAAGCTGCAGCTCTACTTCTGGCTTTTTGGTGGTTCATTGGAGATAGAAATCTCACAGACTTTCCTGCCCAGACTAGCTTTGCACCATGATCCCCAGATCTCAGCCTCCTGAGTGGCTAGGATGACAGGTGTGAGTCAGTGGCACCTGGAACCAGCATGTTTAATTATGAGAGGGACGGTGAGGATGATTAGCACAGGGCCACACTTGATTGGGCCTTTCTCCTCTACACTCCCTAGCCTGATTTCCTCCTTCTTGGCTTCCTTCTTTCCTAGTTCTCCCTGCCCCCCCACCGCCCAGGGGATGCTATTGGCAGTACCTCCTGCATGCGGATGAGGAAGGAGTCGATGAAGTCTCGTGGGGAGTTGGGGTCCAGGGTGCGCTGGTTCTGTTCCACCTTCTTGATTATGAAGTCCTCTAGTCCCCGAATGCTTTTAATGATCTTTCTCTGTGGCCCTGGAAAGTGTTTCATGATGGAATAGAACATGTCATAGATCTGGAGGGTGGGAAGAAGAGGAGATACGAAAGAAAGACAATTAAAATGGGCGCTGGTGGCTCACGCCTGGCATCCCAGCTACTCAGAAGGCTGAGATCTGAAGACTTGTGGTTCAAAGCCAGCCCAGGGCAGGAAAGTCTGTGAGACTGGTATCTCCGATGAATCACTGAAAAGCCAGAAGTGGTGCTGTGGTTCAAGTGGTAGAGCACTACCTTGAGTGAAAAAGCTCAAGAACTGTGCCCAGGCCCTGAGTTCAAGCCATTAGACAGGCATGGTGGTGCATACAGTAGGCGGAGCGGGCACTGGTCACCTGGCCCACAGGAGAAACTGAAAATGCGTGGATCACCATCATCATCTTTAGCAGGCACTGTAACTCTTTGTCCTCATAGTCAAAGCGGTTCCCAAACATCAGGGAGCTGATGACATTGGAGACAGTTTGGCTCAGGTAGTAGGTAGGGTCAACAAAGGCACCTGGAGGGGTGGTCAGGGTTAAGGAAAGATGAGAACAGTCAACTTGAAGCCAGGAGGGCATTGGTGGCTCACGCCTGTCATCCTAGCTACTTAGGAGGCTGAGATCTGAGGATCATGGTTCAAAACAGCCTGGGCAAGAAAGTCCATGAGATGCTTATCTCCAATAAACCACTCAAAAAACTAGAAGTGGTGCTGTGACTCAAGTGGTAGAGTGCTTGCCTTGAGCTGTAGAGCTGAGGGACAGAGCCCAGGCCCAGAGTTCAAGCCCCAAGACTGACAAAAGAAAAAAAAAGTCACCTTGGTGGGCTGTGTCAGTCGAGCATTTCAGGACCACCAAACTTCTGACCCCAAGTTCCAGGCCTCCCAGTGCAGCGCAGGCCTGGTTGTGAGCCCCATATGTGCAGTCACAATGTTTTGTTTCCCTTTCGCCCAACAAGTCAGGAGACCCCCCCCTTGCCCTGGCCGTGGCTCACCTTGGGTACCCCGCAAGGTCTTGATGAGGAAGCCTGCCTCCTCCTGGATGCGCTCCTCGATGCCCCGCTTGCCCATGCCAAAGTCCCGCAGCGTGGAGATGGCGAAGCGCCGCATCTGCTTGGCGCGCTCCCCATTGCTCAAAGCTACGCCTGGAAGAGGTTGTGTGTGTGTGTGTCATGGGGTGGGGGGACTGGGGGGCATGGGGGGCCACCCACCCCCTCTGAGTGAGGGGGCCTGAGAGGAAGAGGGGCAAAGGTGGGGGGGAGGGAGACAGAGGAAGAAGAGGGGGAGGAAGAGGGGGAGGAGGGAAAGGGAGGATGGAGGAAGATAGGGAAGGGGAGACAAAAGAAGAGAGAGGAGAGGAGGGGAGAGGAAGAGACAGGAAGAGAGGGGAGAAGAAAAGAGCACAAAGAAGAGTTAAAAATGTAGAGCCAGTCTCAGACCCACACAGAAAAAGTGCCTGAGTGGGGAGAAGTCAAAAAGAAGAGAGACATGGAAAGGCAAGCTAGAAGGCTGGGTGCCAGTGGCTCAACACCAGGCATCCTGGATACTCAGGAGGATGAGATCTGAGGATCGTGGTTCAAAGCCAGCTTGGGCAGTAGAGCCTGTGAGACTCTTTTGTCCAATGTACCAGCAAAAAGCTAGCGTGGATGGGCTGGGAAGGTGGCTCAGTGGTAGAGCACTTGCCTTGCATGCTTGAGGCCCTGGGTTCGAATCCTCAGCACCACATAAGAAAAAAGCCGGAATTGGCACTGTGGCTCAAGTGGTAGAGTGCTAGCCTTGAGCTGAAGAGCTGAAGGACAGCGCCCAGGCCCAGAGTTCAGGCCCCACAACCAGACCCCCCCAAAAAAAAGCTAGTGTGGAGATGTGGTTCTAGTGTTAGAGTGCCATCTCTGAGTGGGAAAACAAAACAACCTGAGCGACAGCACCCAGGCCCTGAGTTCAAGCACCAGTACCTACACACGCACACACACACCCCCACCCCACCCCACACCCACACCCACACACATATACACACACACACACACGAGAGAGAGACAGAGACAGAGAGAGCTGAAGAAGGAGGAGGAGGAGGAGGAGGAAGGCAGGCAGGTGAGACAGAAGTAGTAAGAGAGATTCAGAGCTACTCCAGTGCAGAAAGGGAAGGGAAGAAGGAAGGGAAGAGGCAAAGAAGGGGCTAAGATGGTAGAGATCTGGCACAAGTACAAAGTGTGTGACATTTTCCATACTGAGTTGGACAAGAAGCAGAAATCAGAGAAGAGGACCCAGAGAAAGTCTGGGAAGAGGAGAGGTAATTTCTGGGAAATCGAAGTATGGGAACATTCAAGATGATTTTGCATGAGATTCAGGAGGAGAAAAGGGGGAAGGGACAAAGAATTTTGGGGAAATAGAGAATCTGAGCATGACCAAAACACAAAAACATGAGGAAAAGGAGGAAAAAGCTAGATTTCAATAGGGAGGCTCTCAAAAAGTTCTTTCCTCCTCCTCCTCCTCCTCCTCCTGTATCCTCCTCCTCTTCCTCCTCCTCCTCCTCCTGCTCCTCCTCCTTCTCCTCCTTCCTGTCCTTCTTCTTCCTCTTCTTCTTATTTTTAAACATTTTGTGCCACTTCTCAGCTCAAACTTAGGGCCTGAGTCCTATCAGCTTTATCTATTCACAACTATTGCTTTACTACTTGAGTCACAGCTCCATTTCTGTGGGGTTTTTTTTTTCTGGTTCATTGGAGATAACAATCTTGGATTTGGTTGGCTTTGGACTGTGATTCTGAAACCCAGTAGCTCAGACTACCGGCATGAGCTACCAGAGCTGACATGGTTTCTCAAGAGTTTCTAAGAAAGAAAAGATACCTAGTGTGAGAGAAAGAGACAGAGGTAGAGACAGGGAGAAAATGGGATGCACAAGAAGACCTTGGATGGGCACAGAGATGGACAGAGAGACACCAGCGGAGAACAGGGCAAAACGAGGCCATTAGGAGGCTTTGGCTACACTGTCCACCAGTGATGGCTCCCTCACCATAGTCGTTGAAGAGCATGTTAAAAGTGGCCTGCTGGCCTCGCCCGCTGAATTCCTCCGCCTGATCCACCAGCGCCTCCTTCACAGTTTGATACCCACACAGCACCACGACCCGGCGGATCCCCAGGTGGATGGTGAACACGGGGCCATAGCGCTCACCGATCTGAAGGGGCATGAAGGGAGTGGAGATTGCTTTGGCTCACAGGCCGTGTCCCCCCAGAAGTCAGTTCTGACCTATGTCCTGTGTGGGCATGCACGCAGGCATGCTGCTACTGGACCTTGAACTCAACGCCTCATGTTCTTGCTTGGCTTTCTTTCTTTTCTTTCTCT